TGGGTGGGGAGCTGGCAACCTTTGCTGAGGTGATTATGTTTGCATCAGAGGCTGTCGAAAACAAAGCTGGGAGGATGTTAAAGATCCATCCTATATAAAGTTTGTGCAACCTGTTTCTTTTTTTCTTTTCCTGTCCAGGGGTGGGGAAAAGCAGTCTTCTACTTCGCTTTGCGGACAACACCTTCTCTGGTAAGTGCTGCCCTCTGTTCTCACTCATTAGATAGCCGGTGTGGGACTCGGACCCAAGAGCAACCAGGGTTCGAATCCGCGCTCAGCAACGAAACTCAATCTGCACCATCAGAATGAAGTTCAGGAGCCAAAAAGTCGTATTGAAAAATATGACTTTTGAACTGTCTGCTCCCAAAATGGCAACTAGGCACTCCATTTTTGCGACTGTAACCCTGGTTTAAGCAGCCATTTGGCACCTAGCTTATAGATCTGAGTTTCTAACGCTGGAGCCACATATGCCGCCTTGAGTGCTTTGGAAGAAAATGGGATAAATAAAGAGCCGTTCTCAACACAGAGATCAGGTAGGAGCCAAGACTGCCAACCTATCAAGCATATTGCAGCAGCGGCCATATTCACTCATTATTTCAACCCCTGCCTCAGGACTTATGAAAGGGAGAGCAGGGACGAGCCCATTGCCCCCACTGCCTCTTGCACGTTCCCATTCATGTAGCCCCTTTCCATGTGTTGGGGGGCTGAATGTCGGCAGAAGGGGCTACTGGAAAAGGCTCCCCATGTAATGTAGAACCCAGATCTTCCTGCAGTCTTAAACCACTCAGAGAGTCTGCTTGAGTAGAGCAGAGTCCTCACTGCAGGTATTCAGATGAAGATGAGACACTTGCCCAAAGCCACCCTGTGAATCCGTGGCTAAAGGTGGGATTACCCCCTAGATCCAACCTGCATCTCATCCCAGTTTTATCCACTGTGATGACTGCAATGTCCTTTGGTGTTTCAGCCACCGCAGCGTAAGCGCCCTTTGACTCCAAGAATTATGAGTTGCCTGTTTTATGGTCACCTGTTTCGGAAAAATTCTAGTATTGTTAAATCTCTCTGCCAGTATTTTTCTCCTCCTGTACTCTGACTTCCCTTCTGCATGTCTCTCCCAGGCAGCTATATCACAACCATTGGGGTAGATTTCAAGATACGGACGCTAGTGATAAATGGAGAGCGAGTGAAGCTGCAGATCTGGGACACGGCTGGACAGGAACGGTTCCGAACCATCACTTCCACGTAAGCATGGCACAGATGTGGGGTATGCCTGGGTATTCCGCGGGCAGGGTGGAGGGTGAAGGTTATTTTGAACTCTTTTTGAGTGATGTGGATTGGCTCCGATGCACATATGTGGGGAGCAAGATGCCTTGAAACTTAGTTAACACGTGGGATATAAATCCACAATGAAAAGATGTGGAAGGTTTGGGATTTCTGGTTTCAGAGCAAATAACTCTTTTTTCATGTTTTCTGAGAGAGGTGCAGATGTTTATTCTAGGATAGGGAACCCATTTTACGGTCTCTCTTTCTCCTGTGACAGGTATTACCGTAACACACATGGTGTCATCATTGTCTATGATGTGACGAACGCAGAGTCCTTTGTTAACGTCAAGCGTTGGCTGCACGAGATTGGGCAGAACTGTGACAGCGTCTGCAAGATCTTGGGTGAGTGAATCAGAGTTGAAATCCTAGCTTCCCACATTCAGTCGTCTAGTGTTTAACGGACATGTGTTCACAGTATACTGAAACCTAGTTATCTAAGCGGACGGCCAAAAGATTTTCCCAAGTTGCAGTGCTCTTATTTCGTGCCAGGTCAGGTGGATGCATTAATACCCCAGATAAGTATGACTTGTATTTTAACTTTGGGATGTACCAGTGGGTTTGGGGAACTGGAAACCTAAGCCCTGAGGTTTAGGCTAGAATCACACAGAATCTCATAGTGCATTCTGGTTAATCTAAGAGCAAATATGCACTTCTGAGCCATCAGTGGAAGTTCTTTCTGGACTGCTGTGGCTTCATTTGTGGATGGGACAGGCTGTGGAGGTGATGATTTAACTCCCTTTAGAAATGTTAGAAATTGCCTAACATTTTCTAAGCGTTGCACATATATTAAGAGGCAAGATGCTCTGCCCGCAGGCTCACAAGCAAATAGACATGATACAAAAGAGAAAGGAATGGAGATGAAAGCAAATGCTGGCGCAGCCAAAGGATGTCTCCCCCCCCCCCATGTTATTTCTGGGAGGCAGCAGGGGGTATAGCCTTCATGCAGCCCTAAGTCACCTGGCTGGTGGTGCACTGTGTTCCTTCATGCCGGGAGAAGGGAAGCACTGCATCCTGCGTGCAGTTGCTTGGAGTGGGGTTCAGACCATGTGCACTTAATGGGTAGCAGTGCCTTGGGCAGATAATTCCCCCCCCATTACCTCCTTCCTGATCCTTTAAAAAAAAACAAAAAACCTTAAGGTACCAGGGCTTGACCTTGGACTTTCCATGTGGGAAGCATGTGCTGTACAACTGAGCTAAGGTCACAGGTGGCTTTAAAGCTTTTTCTAGGGAAAGTTGTTCCTATCAACTTAAATTGGTGCAATAAATGGCTCTCCGATCTAACCTGACAACCTGGTTTCTGTTGAGCGGTTGTACTGCCTCGGCTTGGTAGCTTATGGGGCAATTTTCCTTTGAATACTCTGGTTTGGGAATTAGCTGCACTCTTTTTGTCTATACCGCTGGTACTCTGACAGTATTTCCTCTGGTAATAATTAAGGCTGTTGGATCCCTTTTTGTTGCGTTTGATTCCGCTTCTGATTCCTCCTCCTTCCTCTCCCCCAAATTGTCATCAGTGGGTAACAAATGCGAGGACCCATCGCGGAAGCAAGTGGAGACAGCTGACGCCCGGCGGTTCAGTGAGCAAATGGGAGTCCGCCTCTTTGAAACCAGCGCCAAGGAAAACCTCAATGTGGAAGAGGTATTGGACCGGGGTGTGGGTGAGGGTGGAGACGGGAAGAATGAAAACACAAAGTACCTATAGAGCAGGGATGGGGAAGCAATTTGGCCCCCCAAACCACGTCCCCTTGCCCCTCCGTGAGGTCAACTGGTGGGTAGGAGGATAGGGTTTAATCCTGGATTGGTTGTGAACAGGACTGCATAGCCTAGTTGGCAGGATTTAATTTTGAGTCATCAGTGAATTAAATATCGGAACCTTAAATGGGAAGTGGGGTGGGCCTCTTCCTTTTCAAGTTCCTGATCTTGGGGACTTGAAAGAGAAGAGGGAGGTTTGCAAAAAGCCTTTGCAAGCCTCTTTGCTCGCCTTTCAGCTCCAGAGCTTGTTCTGATCTTGAGCGTGTGGGAGAAGAGGCTTGCAAAAGGGGTTTTGATTGGTGGGTGCCCTTGCTGCATGTCAGTCACAAGGCACAATAATGTGATTGACAGGTAGGTGCTCTCTCAGCCACCCATCCACTTTATCCCGCGAGGCAGATCCTGATAAGGATTTGGCCTGTGGAGCCAAAAATATCCCCCACTCCCTATTAGAGAAATGCCTCTGTGCCTAATGGGGGTGTGTGTGTGCGCGTGCGCGTTGTTGGTAGGGAAAGGCAGGCTCATCACTCTGTATTTTTCCTCCGCTACAGATGTTCAATGCCATCACAGCCATGGTGCTCCGGACTAAACAGGAAAATCTGGCACGGCTCCAGCAGCAGAATGAGGTTGTCAAAATCAACAAACCCAAAAAGAAACCCTCCGTCAAGAAATGCTGCTGAAGGGACAGCCCCTGTGTTCTCCTCTTCCTCCCCGCCCCAAAATCCTGAGAATGACTGACTGGACTGTGGAAGGGCTGGTTGGGTGGGTAAAAATAGCTGCCGTTATGTGCGCATGTGTGGTGGGGGAAGGGGGGGGCCTGGAATCCTGGCGGGAGGGTACGGGAGTCTGTGTGAATGAATGCCCACAGCACTGGAATGGCACTCCCCTCCCCACAACCCTTGGAGAGGTTGAGTTGCTGGAATGGAAAAATCTATATACTGGCGCTGAAATCCCTTCTTGTGTTGGGGATAGAGGCGGGGGAACATTGAAGAGCATTAAAAACAAACAATGCTGAAACAAATTGTATAAAGGTGATGAATAGGAGGATGAGGGGCATTCTCTACTTCCAGAAAACAAAAATAACCTCTGCAGTGTTGCCTATAAACTCTCTTCTCATGTATTTTACTTCTCGTCTTCCTCTGCCCTCCATTCCCACCCTGTGTTGCCATGGCGCAGTGCAGCTCGAGTATCCATTGTTGGGTCACTGTGATACGTGTTTGTGTGTTGCGGGAGAAAGATGTGTATTTCTTTTTAAGGGGGGAGGACAATACAGCTGTACCTGTGACTAATGAGGGGTAGGATGAAACTGGGGGAATCCAGTGCCTCAATTCACAATACTTCACCTAGCAATAGTGGGGATTGCCCCAATTTTCTTCTTGGCTTGCGTTTGCTAAGAAATGTGGTCAGAATACTGTCCTGAGGCCTGGGTTAAAAACCAGGGTGCAAACCTCTCCCACGGGGTCTGGAATAGGATTGTTCATCTCTTCCCCATAACCCCTCTCCAGTCTCAGAGCAACTTGTCATGTATATTCATATTCAAAACAAGGCTGGGGTTGGAAAGGTCTCTTTGAAACCTCCCTGCCTTGTATTAGCAATTGGGGTACCATCCTGTCAGCCCAGCCTCCCTCCTGAAACTGAGGAACTAATCAGAAGGTGTGTATATGCCAAACTTGGAATATGAAACACTCTTTGGATCTGGGAGGTGGGTCTCCACCCCACAACTCCAAAATGGTGGGTACAACAGAAATTGTATCTGCCCTCCCACCTCTGTCTTTAAATATGGGGACCTTCTGACTGTGCAATACGTCTGCTTCATGAGTTATTTTATATACACAAAAATGAATTATGTACATAATTAAAACATCTTGTGTTAACCCACTGCTAATGGCATTAAACCTGTCAAGGAGACACCACTGTTCAATAAAGAAATTTAGATATGAAACCACCTCTTATTCTTTTATTTCTCCAAAGCATGGCTACCCATCCTTTGGTGGCAAGAGGGATTTTTTTTGTCATATTTCCATCTGTTGGTACCCTCTGGAATAACATCTTGTTTTCAGCTCTCTGGAAGTAAAAGGTCAAGATGCTGCTCCCGCAAGGAAAGAGAAAATGTTAGTTGATCTTCACACAAACACTTTTTTTTTGTAGGGTGGGCTATCAGCTCTCTGATAAAATAAAAAGGAGAAGTTCAGAAAGCTCATTTTGAAATTGCTTCTAAAAAGCAATATTAACATTCTAAGTCATAGCACCTTGAGACACCACAGTTGCACTTTTTCCTAAGTACTGGCATCTTTCCTATTGAAAAAGAAAATAGCAATATGCACACACACCAGAAATGACCACTCACACATTTTTACATCTAGTAGAGGGGAGAGGATCAGATCATTGCAGTTGGTTGAAAAATGATGGGTGTTCCTATGTTGCTGTAACAAAAATTGCAATCAAATGTGTTGATGCTGGATAATGATGTCATTTGTTGAAAGTCTGACAGGCCAACCGGAAAAAGAGAGTTTTGGCTTTAGACCAAGATGGGTGAAAGCTCATATTTCCATTTCCTCTTGTATTGTCGCTGCTTCTTGCTGAGGCTGTGCAGGAGAGCTGAGGGCAGATGGGATAGCCATCAATGTCCGGATACTGTGAAAGCCTGAGTTACTAGGAGGGCTCCAAAGGACCACTTCTGTACAAGGATTCCTGTAAGAATGAGGGAGGATGCTAGTTACTGATGCAAATGATTTTGCTTTCCAGTGTTCCTCTTTTCTTCCCAAGTCTTGTGCTATACTTACAGAGAAAGAAATACCTCTTCAGGCACAAGGCTGACTCCTCCAACGGGCTCTTGTAGGAAGGAAGGATGTGCCAGTATGGGGCAATCTGCCATAATGAATTCCCCATCCACAAGCACACTGTTGTGCTCATCCTCGTCTGAACTAGCTTCTTCACTTGCTCCATCTTGGGACAGCCTAAGAGAGAGAAAATCTCACACAATGAAGCCTTGTTATTCTGCTTCTCTGACTGCCCCCCTCACAAAGCAGTGGTCCCCAGTACCTCTGCTGCAGTTCTTTCAGGCGTGCGTATGCCTCCTGCCACTTGGGATCTTCATCGTAGAGAGGGAAACCATTGGAGCTGTAGACATGGTCATTGTCCAGGCTAAGAGAGTTGAAGCGGGCAGCCATCTTGTCCTCTGAGAGGAAGTGTTTGGAACTGGGTTCCCTGTTGGGGCACAGAGAGCAATGGCAAGGAGTCCAGGGTCCAGTGACACCAATCCTGTCCTGTACCAATTCATGCCAAGCTCGCTTCCCCCACTCTGCCCTTCAGCATGGCCCACCATGCACTGCAGCACATTAAAAGTTCATTTGGCATTTTTAGTGTCGGATACAAAAAGCACACACTTACTTAAATGAAAATTGCATGTTCAATAGTTTATTCATTGTTCTCAGAAAACTACAATGGAATATATTTAATCAGCAAAAAAAAAAAAAGCTTTTAAGAAAAAAAACATGATGCAATTGTAACCTGTATATGGAAGAAGAAAGTGGAATATGAATATGGAAGTTTCTAGCCCCAATCGCTTCATGCACCAGCCATAACTCCTCATCTTATGTCACACTTACTGATCTCTATGCTCCAGATGGCGTTTGAAAGCGAAGGATGTTGACCGGCACCTAAAACAAAAAGCTACAGTTGTGCTCGAGACCCAAAGATCTCCCCACGCTAGTTGCTCTTCTCCCACTGGCCTACTCTTTTACCATAATTATAAAAGCTGTGCTTCTTCCTCTTTGCAGACCCCAAAGTCCATGGATTTGCAGGACCCCTCCTTCCTTCCCCACAGCACTGAATTAGGTTTTTTCTCTTCTCCCCACCCAGGGCCATAGCTAGGGAGTGGTGAAGTGGGACCCAGCCAGGGGTGCAGGCAAGGAGGGGGAGCAAAATTGGCTAAAAATATGTATATAAATAGGTCTATAAATAAAAGGTTTTAAATAGAAGTGTGAATTGAATTGGTTGGGGGCGGGGTTGGAGGAGAGGCGGAAAGAGGAGCTAATTTGTCCATGGCTAGGGGGCGCAATCTGGACGGTTCTGCCAGGGGCGCAAGATCACCTAGCTACAGCTTTAAGGCCCTTTACAGAACCAGAATGCTTGAAGGACTGCGTACTTCTATTTATACCTTAAGATATTTAGCCAATAATCTTCTACAAGTGTACCTGCCATCTGAGACAAGGTATGAGACAGCAGGAGTGAAATACCTCCCCCAGAGAGGCTTGCCTAGTGCCTACTTTGTTATTTTGCTGGGAAGTAAATACATTTAAAATGTTTTACACTGCTGAGTTTCACTGTCTTGTTACAGTTATTTTACCTAAATTGTGTGTGAACTGTATTGTAAACTGCCTTCAGAATACAGTGGTGCCTCGCAAGATGAAATTAATTCGTTCCGCAAGTTTTTTCTTCTTGCGAGTTTTTCGTCTTGCGATGCACGGTTTCCCATAGGAATGCATTGAAAATCAATTAATGTGTTCCTATGGAAACCGACTTCAGACCAGGTCCGGGGACAATCTGTCCCCCGACCTCTTCTGAAGGCTGGGGGGGGGGACAAGGGCTTTTCTTCCCACCCCCAGCATTTTAAAAAACCCCGGGACAGCGGAGGGCTTCTCCGCTGTCCGGGGCGATTTAAAAGCCCTCCGGGACAGGCAGGCAGGGGGGACAAAGACTTTCGCCCCCCGCCTGCCTTCAAAAGCCCTCCTGCCTGCCTTCCCGGGAGAGCGGAGAAACGCAGCGCTGCGTTTCTCCGCTCTCCCGGGAAGGCAGGCAGGGGGGAGCAAAGACTTTCGCCCCCCGCCCGCCTTCAGAAGAGGTCCAGGACCTCTTCTGAATGCGGGCGGGGGGCAAAAGTCTTTGTTCCCCCCTGCCTGCCTGCCTTCAAAAGCCCTCCTGCCTGCCTTCCTGGGAGAGCGGAGAAACGCAGCGCTGCGTTTCTCCGCTCTCCCGGGAAGGCAGGCAGGGGGGAGCAAAGACTCTCCCGGGAAGGCAGGCAGGGGGGAGCAAAGACTTTCGCCCCCCGCCGGCCTTCAGAAGAGGTCCAGGACCTCTTCTGAATGCGGGCGGGGGGCAAAAGTCTTTGTTCCCCCCTGCCTGCCTTCAAAAGCCATCCGGGACAGCGGAGAATCGCGCTGCCCGGTGCGATTTTAAACCCGCTGTCCCGGGTTTTTTTAAATGCTGCTGGGCGGCAGCGCTGCCGCCCGGCAGCATTTTAAAATCGCCCCGGACAGCGGAGAAGTCCCCCGCTGTCCCGGGGTTTTTAAAAAACTCTCCGCCCCCCCGCCAGGCTTCGGAAGGCTGCTCCAAAGCCTGGCGGCGGGAGGAGGTCCGAGGACAGTGGGGAAGACGCGCTGCGCTTTTCCCCCGCTGTCCCGGAGATTTCCCTATGGGCTTTTGTCTTGCGAAGGAAGCCCATAGGGAAATTCGTTTTGCGAAGCGCCTCCAAAACGGAAAACCCTTTCGTCTAGCGGGTTTTCCGTCTTGCGAGGCGTTCGTCTTGCGGGGCACCACTGTATATAAAGTCCTGTAATCAATTAACTTCCCTGAAAGTTTATGACTGTAGCCCACTGTCTGCCCTTTTGCCTCTTTCCTTCAGAACTAAGCTGCAAAATAAAAAGCCCAACAAAATGACTGCATTTTCCTTCTCTGGCATGTTTTTTAAAGCTTCCAGCAGGTCGGTCACCTTTTTGCCTGTGAATAAATGCCAGAGAGGTGGGCGCTATCAAAATCCACTTTTCCCTCCCTCAGCCCATCCTCAAAATGTATCCTTTCCTCTTCACCCAAGCAAAAAGCCTCATTGTGCACATGCTTACCGGGACTGCTGTATTTTACTGAAGTTCACCAAGCCCTGGCTTTGCCTTATCCATGGCATTCTGCGTGCTGTGTGCCGCTGCCTGCTGGAGGGCATGGTGTGGCTCCAACCCCTGCTCCCAGCCAAGAAGGAGCAGCACGTGGATGGGCTGGATGGAATAATTGTTGGCGATTGCTGGCCAGTTGTCTGATCCATCTGTGAGGTAAAACATAAAGGGAGTTAAACTAAGACTCGCCTCTGTAGCACTAATCCTGCCCTGAAACACTGTTAGTGCAAGGGAGCTGTTGATCACACTAACCTGTGAAAAAGCTGCCTATTTTTAAAGGATTGTTCTGGTGCCTTCAGCCCGATGCAAAGCGGAGCTAGTATATTGATGGAAGTGGATTGTTGTGTGTTAGAAAGGATTTGAGAGAACATCCTAGGGTTTATACTTGGTTCAGGCAGAACACTGACCAGGCCTGAAGAGCCTTCCCCTTCCCCTGTATATGACTGAGCATAGCTGATGATCCTCTGAAGCTGTGCACTTTAGGGGGCAATTGATATGAGCAAGGAAGCTGGTCTCACGTGATCTTTTTATTAAGTGGGCCCTTTGCATACTGCTTAATTCTATTTGTTCCTATTTTGTCTGTAAGCCGCCTCAAGTCTCTGCCGGGGAAAAGGGGTGGTGCATGCATGCATAAATTCCTTTGAAAAGCCACTGCATTAGATATTGCACCTGTTGTCTTCAGGCGCTTTTCCAGCTGCTCATTTTGAGACGTAAGGCTGAGTCCCACATACAAAGCTCCTTTCTGTTTCTTATCAGGTAAGGTCTTTATCAGAGGGGTCTCTGCAGATGCTCTTTAGGTTTCCAACACCTTAATTAAGCTAAGTGTTTCGATCAGATAGTGGTGGTCTTTACATTGGATAACTCTTGGAAGTTGTGTCTGTTCAAAGTAATACCTGATGTAAGGTTACCAGATGTCCCTGTTTCCGGGGGACAGTCCCTGCATTTACAAATCAGTCCCCTGACAAATTCCATCTATTTAGTAGGAAGTTGAAAAGTGTCCCCAGATTCATTGAAAAAAACCTGGTAACCTTAACCTGATTGTTGTGTAGGATTCAGCTCTACCATCCTTAAAAGTGTTATGTGTGTTTTTGATTTTGAGGTTGCTAATGTGTTAGTGATAAATCTGCAACTGCCCCTTTTTGTCCTAAAGGCTCATGAGATCACAGGTCGCTCTCCTGTGATCCTTAAGGCCACTTCAGGATAAAGGAAGTTTGCCTTGACCCGACTAGCGCTTAGCTCTCCCTGCCAAGCTTTGGGAATCCCAGCAGCCTTTGCGCTCACAGGCAGCCATTTAAAGACGCTCCCATGATGCCTTGCTACAGGGCTAACCGAAATAACGGAATCCCAAGACGCTTTGCGCTCGCCACAACCTGGTGGGCGTGTCCACTCCACAGGAAAGGGCGTGGTTATATTCAAGGTGGGGCTGGGCGCCCCTTGATTCTCTGAGGCACGTGCGGCTGCCGCTGTGCGGTGGAAGGAACGTGACGCCAGTAACGGTCGGTGCAGACAGGCACGCGCGAGGGGGAGGCGGGTTAGAATGCGGGTCTGGAGATAGCGTCTGCGCATGCGCCGTTAATATAGCGGCAGGGGATTAAAAAATATATGCCTCTTACCGTTCGGAAGTCTGTTCCTCACGCTGCTCTTCACAACGGCGGCGCTTCTACAGCAGCCTGGGGAACCAGCAGGGTGTAAACCAGCCACCAAATTTCGTTTTCACGTGACGAGCGAGGAGGGGGGAAACACTCTGATACACGTGCGAAGGGTGCCGGGAAATGTAGTTCCTTTTTACACTCTCGGTCCATGTTGCTTTGACCGCGGAGCCTCCGAATCCCGTCGTGCCTTGCGCTTTTTCGTCGCTCCGTCTCTTTGTAATCATAGAGACGAGACAAAGTCTCAAGGGCTCGTGCGCGCGCCCCCTAATGTCCAACTTTGGCATTGGCTGCGTTAAGTGAAGGATAAAGGAAAGCGCGTCGCTTCTGCACCGAATGAATGGAGCGCGGGCGCGTCTGGCTCCCATTGACCGGGGCGGGTTTGCACGAGCAATTTAACATCGCGGTCGTTTGCGTGCTTACTCAGAAGTAAGTCCCACTGTGTTCAATGGGCTTACTCCTCGGACAGTGTGCATAGAGTGTGCGCTTTGCCTGGACCAACGTTTGCTGCAATGCGGCGGCTCTTTTTGCTCCCCGCTCAGCATTATCAAGTGGTTTTTTAAATTTTATTTTAAAGGGAACTCTGCATTTCTGTTAAGCTGCTTTTCTTATAAAATCAAACTCAAGGTAGCTTGAGAGAAAAAACATATAAGTATTGCAGCAAAATTAAAACTCAAAACCAAGGCAGCTTACCATCAAAATATAAATCGTGTCCAAATTCAACATGCAGTAGCAAAACAAAAGCGTTATGTTGATGCATGGGGCATTTTAAAAACTCACATTAGATGCAGTGTTTACATCTCCTTTTGTCGAGGGAGCCAGATTATTTGCAGCATGTATTGTGGGGTTGGGACGCGGGTGGCGCTGTGGGTTAAAGCCTCAGCGACTAGGACTTGCCAATCGAAAGGTCAGCGGTTCGAATCCCCGCGGCGGGGTGCGCTCCCGTCGCTCGGTCCCAGCGCCTGCCAACCTAGCAGTTTGAAAGCACCCTCGGGTGCAAGTAGATAAATAGGGACCGCTTACCAGCGGGAAGGTAAACGGCGTTCCGTGTGCTGTGCTGGCTCGCCAGATGCAGCTTGTCATGCTGGCCATGTGACCCGGAAGTGTCTGCGGACAGCGCTGGCTCCCAACCTATAGAGTGAGATGAGCGCACAACCCTAGAGTCTGTCAAGACTGGCCCGTACGGGCAGGGGTACCTTTATCTTTACCTTATTGTGGGGTTAGGGAACTGGTGGCCCTGCTGATATTTCTGGAATACAACTGCCATCACCCCGATCGTTGGCCATACTCACTGGAGCTGATGGGAGCTGGAATCCGCCCCCCCCCCAATCTGGTGGGCCACAGGTTCCCTACTCCTGATGTACCCTATTTTGCCTTGCTGGAAACCCCACATGCTTTGGGATCATTTGTCGCACCCCTGGGTGAGGCTCATTGGACATGGGGAGCATGTAGCATGGCAGCCTGTTCTGTGGTTCCATGTACTGCACTGGGATGCTGGTGAGACCAGTGTGTCATACTGGAGAGATCTTGCTCCCATCTTACCTATTGACATCCAAGGCCAGGCTGCCTAGATCTACGCTTTGGTATATTGCAGGAATTAGCTTTACAAAAAATTGAGCTTGGTCAAGCTCCGCAGCATAGGTGGGCTTTTGTTTTGCCAAGGACGGAATCTGCTTATACTGTAGTGCAATCAGGGCTTGGGGTGGGACATGCCTGGGCAAATAAAACAAGTATTTCTTAGGAAAGCAAGAACCAGCATCCATCCAGGCAGCACTTGCTGCCTTGACTTCTCCTGCTTGTTCCTATTGCCAGATGGATATTCAGAGATCCCTGGAACTCTTGCACATGACTGTCTACTCCCAGAGTGTCTCGCCATGTGGCAAGTACTTGGCAGCTGGGAACAACTATGGAGAGATTGCCATCTTCAGGTAATTGGGTGCCTCTTTTGAGGGAGGGAGGGATTATCTCTGCATTTTCTCACACCTCTGTGTTTCTTCCTCTCCAGCCTTTCTGCAGCACTGAGTTCAGAGGCTAAGGAGGAGAGCAAGAAGCCAGTGGTGTCCTTTGTAGGTAGGTGAAAAACACAGCCTCTACTGGAATTGTTTTTAAGTTGCTTTTATCGTTATGTTGCCTGTTGTTGCTGCCCTGGGCTCCTTCGGGAAGGCTAATGGGATATAAACAAATAACAACAACTGCAAGGAGTCCAGGAACTCCCAAGATGCATTGAGCATCCATTCCCATGCCAACCTGCTTGTTTATTACGGTTGGCCGTTTGTGGCAATGCCAGGAGTTCCCATAAAGCAGATCCCCAGGCCCAGTGTCAGCATGCAGCATTGGCTGGGCTCCACGAGACCTGCTGTGGCTAATGCTGGCATCATTTAATAAATAAATAAATAAATAAATGGCCTGGCCTTGAGATGAGAAGCACTGGGCTGGGTGGCTCCACCCTCCACCCAAAAAAAGCCCCCAGCCTTTGGGCCCTTACATAGGGCTTCTCCATGTGTCATATTTATTGTGCATTCATGATTATTTGTCTTACGATGGTATCAGGACGGTTATTCGCAGTCCTGCTTTCAATAATAATAATAATAATAATACAGTGGTACCTCGGGTTGAGTACCTAATTCATTCTGGAGGTCCGTTCTTAACCTGAAACTGTTCTTAACCTGAAGCACCACTTTAGCTAATGGGGCCTCTTGCTGCTGCTGTGCCGCTGGAGCATGATTTCTGTTCTCATCCTGAAGCAAAGTTCTTAACCCGAGGTACTATTTCTGGGTTAGCGGAGTCTGTAATCTGAAGTGTATGTAACCTGAAGCGTATGTAACACGAGGTACCACTGTAATAATAATTGATTATTTATACCCCACCCATCTGGCTAGGTTTCCCCAGCCACTCTGGGTGGCTTCCAACAGAATATTAAAAAACACAATAAACCATCAAACATTAAATTTTTTCCTAAACAAGGCTGCCTTCAGATTTTTTCTAAAAGTCAGATAGTTGTTTATTTCCTTGACATCTGAAGGGAGGGCGTTCCACAGGGTAGGCGCCACTACAGAGAAGGCCCTCTGCCTGGTTCCCTGTAACCTCACTTCTCGCAGGGAGGGAACTGCCAGACGGCCCTCGGAGCTGGACCTCAGTGTCCGGGCTGAACGATGGGGGTGGAGACGCTCCTTCAGGTATACTGGGCTGAGGCCTTTTATACAATATCATTGGGGAGGCATCACAGAAGAACTAATAAAGCAGAATGATGTGTGGATGATCGTATAAATCCACCACCAACATGCTATTATTGTGCCAATGATGCATTGCAGGATACACCTGGAAAAAACCCAACACCTCAGTCTGGAGGGGCCTGTGCATCAGTGCCATTATTCAGTGCCACCGCCTGCCCCTGCCATCCCTCTAAAGTGCCAATTTGGAGACCCTCTCCCCACCTTAGCTGGGTGCCTGTGTGATGATTTGCCGTGTTGACATACCTAACACGACTCCTTTAATTTTAAGGGCCCTTCACTGAGGGGAGCAGTGGGCCAAGTGGTCCCAGTGGCCTCTCCTTCTCACAGTCCTGCCCCTGCTGATTGGTAAGCTAACCAAGGGAGGGGGCTCTCCCAGGACTGTCCTTGCCCCCAAGCCCCCCTTGAATCTGGCCACGGGCTTGCAAGCCCTCTGCAAACGAGATTGAAATAAAATGCGTTCCTGGCAAAGTTAAACTCCGGAACTTCAGGGTGGCAAGCTGGGGATTTCCCAGAATGCACTTCACCACTGCCATGCCAAAATCCATCCATTTCAGGTGCTTCTTCTTCCCACAGCTCACGAAGGTCCCGTCTATGCCCTGGTTTCCACAGACCGGCAGCTGCTCAGTGCTGGCAATGGGGAAGTCAAGGCCTGGAACTGGAGTGAGATTGTGAAGAAGGTAAGGGCGGCTGGCTCATCGGTTCCCCTCCCACGTTTCTCCCGACTTCCTTTTGACTGCGTTCCTCTTAACCTTCTTCTGCCTTCTGCCGCAGGGTTGCAAAGAAGCCTGGAGCAGGAGGCCGCCTTATGGGTATAAATTTGATTTCCACCTTTCACCATTGCCATCTTTTCTTCCTCTTTATGCATGTACAGATGGCAACAAACTCTCTTTGCTTTTCTGCTCAGGAGCAGCTTGGAGGTGCCAGAGATCAACAGCCTTCAGCTGAACCTCAAGGTACAGGCGCAATGCAATATGGGGAGGGTTCGGCACGGTTCACTCATCTGCTTCGGTCTCATTCTTGCCGTTTCTCCCCCTTCCTCCTTCAGGATAATAGTCTTCTAATGGCTGGGGGAGACTGTTCCATTCATATGATGGATCTGGAATCTGGCGCCTTTACGGTGAGTCCTGCCTCTAGCATCATGGGGCTGATGAAATGCGGGGAGAGAGGAGGTTTATTTAAGGCAACTCCTTCTCATCTCCTACAGGGGCTTCTCCTCATTAGAGTATCCCCAAATTCTTATTATAAACTGGAAATAAATCCTCTTAATCTGTCAAGTTCTCAATTTCGTCAGTCGATTTCCAGACTCCAAGGCTTTTCCCCCTTGCCTATGGTTACTGAAAACTTAATAAAAATAGCTTTTCAGGATTCTGTGTTGTTCTGCAACAGCAATAGAGTATCATAATATAATTTCTCAGTTATTCTGTAGCCTATCTCTGTAACCTCCAGAAAGTGTCCTACCTCCATCCACTGCAAGTCATACTCTGTTTCGTCTCTCTCTGCCACAGCATGAATATCAAGGCCACACCGATTATATCCACTGCCTGGCCCTTCGAGACCAGCTCAGAGAGTGCCTGTCAGGGAGTGAGGACGGCACCGTGCGCCTGTGGGGTGAGGATCTGCAGCCCCCTTGCCGCCTGCTGTTTCTCTTCCTTCTGTACCTCCCTCAGACTCTGGATACCTGCATTTGTTTCTCTGAAAGATTGTCTCCCCATATAATCCCCACTCCGTGCTTTAAAATCAGTTGGGCAGATCCTGCTGCATGTCCCATCTCCAAAGGAAGCCAAATCTGAACCCTGTCAGGGTAGGGCCTTCTCAGTGGTGGTGACCCCGCTGTCCTGAAACAGGCTCCTCGGTTACTTAGGTTCACTGATTCGAATATGACTTTGGCAACATCCACACCATACATTTAAAGCGCTATGATACCTTTAACAGATATAGAAAACCCCGTGAACTGTAGTTGGTCAACAGTGCAGGAAACTGTAGCTATGTGAAGTCAGCGCTCTGAGCAAACTGCAGTTCGCAGGATTCTCCGTGGCTGTTAAAAGTGGTATCATCCTGCTTTAAATGTATGCTGTGGATGTAACCCATCTTTGGGTATCAATCTGTGCCTTTTAAGCTTCTGTGCTCTGTTATATGGCTAATGGTCGTAAGGTTTGTTTTAACTTCTGGATTATATCTTGGATTCCATATTTGTTTGCTCTTAGAAGTTTCTTGAAAAGCAGGGTGGGTGTCACTTATTTAAAGCTGATTGAGAGAATATCTTCAGAATGTTTGGGAACGAGCCAATGCCACAGGGATCCCACTGCTCCATTTTCTTCCAATCTCTTTAGATGATCAAAACAAAAAAAATTCCTTCCAGTAGCACCTTAAAGACCAACTAAGTTAGTTCTTGGTATGAGCTTTCGTGTGCATGCACACTTCTTCAGATACACTGCATGCACACGAAAGCTCATACCAAGAACTAACTTAGTTGGTCTTTAAGGTGCTACTGGAAGGATTTTTTTTGTTTTGACTATGGCAGACCAACACGGCTACCTATCTGTAACTGGAACTTTAGATGATCAGTTGCTGACACCCCCTTTGGCTTGTGTTCTAGGACTGGGATGGTGTATATGCAACACAGGAAGCTGCCTATATTGAGCCCTGTGGTCCATCTAGCAACATGTTGTCTATGGTTAATGGCAGTGGCTCTGTGGGGTTTCAGGTTGGGTCCCTCCCATCCCTTACTGGAAATGATGAGGATTGAACCTGTGTCTTTCTGAATGCAAACAGATTGTCTGCCACTGAGCTACAGTTGACTAGACAAACCATGGACTCTCTCTCTCTCTCTCTCTCTCTGCAGATTTACGTACTGGAGGTCAGGTTCAATCAATTGAAGTACATAAATATGAGGTAATGTAATCATCATCATCAACAACTTTATTTTTAATGTAAGAAGGCATCAAACAATAATCATAAAGGAAAACAAACAATAAAAGATTAGTTATAATAAAGCAAAATTAAGTATATGACTGGATATTTTCCTGAGGTTTGTCATTCCAAAACATCATAAACAAACTGTTGTTCCATAGATTAGGTTGACTGTTGTTATTTATGCATTCTCCTGTAATATCTCAGTTTAGATAATGGAGCTATTATATTCCACATTTTATGAAACCACTCAGATAAATAGTGGTCTAATTGACCACTATACTGATCTTAGCAGCAATGAGAAAGATTAATAGCCCATTTCCAAATCCAGGATTAAACCCTTTTAGATAACCTTATGAGGTATTGCGGTTTTATCCCATTTCCCTCTGCCCCAGGGAACACCGTGCCTTCCTATCCCTCCCCATTCTTCCATTGTCCATCTATCCAGAAATTTTAAAAATAATTTACAAAGTAGAGAAAAATATGCAAACCAAGCTGCTGTTATTATCAAAGTGTTTGCAACTCCTCAAAACAACAACGCCTAATAAAAACTAGGAACCTATATCAACACGAGACAACCTCACACTTGCGATCTCATATTTTATTGAAGAAAAACCTTTGAGGAAATGGAGCCCTTACTCATTTCCGATAAGCAGCATCACCACTTAACCATTGCTTCCTTCGGCCACCTTCCCCTAACGCTCCCCTCAACTCCCTTAGGAATGTAACAGGCCGCAGAACGGGAAGTGGATCCGTTGCCTGGCAACCGAGTCTGACTGGATGGTGAGTTCATTGACTCTTGGCTGCAGAAAGAGAACAGCTTAAATATCCCAAGATGTATTGAGCTGGGGTGCAGCAGTCTGGGAGGGAAGGAGGAGGTTGTTCACTGAGCCTTGCTGTTCTCGGATGTCGCATGGGACGTCCAGAGACGTTGGCTTCCCCTTTCCTTGGAGCTCCCTGTTCTGCCCATATTTTCTGAAACTGGCCTTGGAAGCAAGGGGGGCTGCTACAATTTGCAAAGGACAAGTGTTTGGTGTACTGGGTGAGCAAAACTGCTCTTGCAGAGAGCTTTTGTCATCGGCAGGTTGTGGGTTCCCTAAGGCAGCCGTCTTCCACTTTTTCAGATCTGGGACGCCCCTTTAACATGCATTTGAGGGACCCATTTATTAATCTTTCCCTTAGGTTTGCATGGTGGCTGCACCTTAGACCAGTCCCTGGCCCTAGTATGGAGGGCCCTGACTTCCCAGTTTAAGATCCCTCCCCTCAGGTGTCCAACCTTTTTGCTGTTTCTCCTTCCACAGGTGTGTGGTGGAGGCCCAGCGCTCACTCTGTGGCACCTGCGGTCCGTCACACCTACCACGATATTCCCCGTGCCCCAGTGTCAGCAACAAGTCATGTTCTACCAGGACTTGGTGAGTCATTCCCCCTGGGGGTTGGGGGACACATAGCCTCCCGTCTCGCTGGCTTCCTCATTCCCTTGATTCCTGCATTTCTTCCCCCTGCTCCTTTGTTGTTATTCCTTCATCCAACCAGTCTTATTTCCCCTTCCTTTGCTCTTTCCTTTTGCGCCAAATTTTTTATTCTTCATAAAAATGGTTTCATTGCCACCCGCCATAGCTGTCAACTTTCAGATTTGAAAATAAGGGATCAGCATCCTTGAAAATAAGGGACCAGCAGCCTCAGCTGTCCCGGGGACAGTCTACGGGATATCTAACAATCCGGGATAGCAGCAGGAAGTGGCTCTGGAATAAGGGAATTTCCTGCAAAAAAAGGGAAGGTTGACAGCTATTCAACCCGCCCTTTCACTCAGCACCCTGTTTCCTCGCCCTGATGATCTGTCTTCCGCAGATTCTCTCGGCTGGCCACAGCCCCACCATTAACCATTTACAGATCAGTGGGGAAGTGAAGGCTCAAATCCCTTGCATCCCACGTTGTATCCACTCTCTTTCCATCAACGAACACTCGCCAGAGCACAAGGTAAGCTCCTGGGCGGCAGGAGGGAGGTAGGAGGGGGTCTGGCCTGCAAAGGGAGGCGGCTGGAATTCTGCTTGGAAGGGGCAGGGCTTAGCTTTGGCAAGTAGGACTGTGGACGTGGGGGAGGGGGCTGAAATAAGAATGTGCCAAGCTTCCAAGGAGCATGGGAGGCTTGGTGAATGAGAGGTGGGTTGTCACTTGGGGTTGGACCTGCAGAAGTAGTGAATTTGGGCTTCAGTTTGTAGAAACCCAGAGGTCTGGACCGCCAAATGGCGAGTTTGTGGGACCCTCGCCCCCGCTAAATTAAAACAACTATATCCCTATAAAGTGGGAATCTCAAGGCAGCCGACAAACCAAATTTAAAACACAGCTATGAGTAAATGGCAAATTATCTTGGGGAAAGTATGTAAAAAAAAATCAACCCCAAACCTGAAGCGATATCTGTGGCACAGAAATGAAAACCACACTGGAGAACCATACAATAAGAAGGGGGTGGGCCATAGGCCCATTGAACCTAGGAGGTTGAACGGAGGTGTTGAAATAGCAACAGAAAGGGAGTCATATGTGCTCCATAAGAGAGGGAGTTCTCCAGTCTGGGTGCCACAACCCAGAAGGCCCTGCCCTGCATACTTGCCAGTTCTGTGTTCCTCGGCCTCCATCAGAGATCTGACTGGGGGTAGGCAGAGGCATGTGGGAGAAGATGGTCTTTTACTAGGACTGGGGTGGGGGGTAGGAACATTTTGCAATCCAGGGGTCCCTTCTAAGCAACATTTGGAGGGTCATATGCGGGACTAGAGACAAAAAGTTGGGGTGGGGGGCAAGGAATGTAAACCTTACCTTAGTACCCTAGGCTAATTCCTACACGGATTCACACTCCCCTCCAGGCAAACAAGAGGCATTGTCAGAGTTCAAGGACACATCCCAGCCAGGCAAAATAATAAAATAAAATAAAGCACTCAAGGAAGAGTGCAAAGCATGACCACTGAGGGCATGGCCTGGGAAGAAGGTGTGTGGCCCAGGGAGAATCCCAAGGATCAGAGACCTGGAGGACTGGATGTGGTCCCTGGCCCTGAGGTTCCCCAGCCCTGGGCTTGAGTACTTGCTGTTTTCTGCTGGGCAGAACAATGGTTTTGTTTCCGTGGCTGGTGATGGTGGGGAGCAAAGCAAGAGAGAGGGGGTGGGCAAGGTTAGAAGCAGAGCGGGTAGGGCAGTGGGTGGGCCTTCCGCCGCCCCATACCTGATAAACCTCTTCCCTCTCATCTTCCCTTCCTCTTCGCCATCAGGTGCTGACAGCTGCCGGAAGCAGCCACCGCATCGACGTCTTCACCAACTTCGGTTACCGGGCCTTTTCCCTCACCTTCTCTTAAGCCGCTCAGACGATTCCGTTTCCATAAACTGGTGCTGTTCAAGGAGTGCCTGGGCAGGACAGGCAGCCCCACTCGTCAGGCTGCTGCGTTCAGGGATGGGTGAGCCATAGCTAGCTGGACTTTTGGTTGGGAAAAGGAGGCTCTTCACTAAGGAAAAAGAAACCCCTGGACCTGCTTGGGCATGAACTTCATGGGTTTTAAAGTTGTGGGGGGGGGAATGAAAGGAATTGGGAACTGTGTTTATTGTAACTAGCAACCCCCAATTCCACAGTCAGGATAAACCTTACATCACAGGCAAGAAGCTGTTAAATCTATTTCGAGTTAAATGCATTAAAACATTTTTTTTAAGACTGAAATATGGATGCCCTCGGAATGTTTGTTGCTATGTCTTTGTCCTATCCTTCATTTGAGGAAGCATACGGAGTTCCCTTCTTGTTCTCTCAAAAATCTTGTGTAAGGTAGGTGAATCCGAGAGGCGATGGCTGACATAATGTTCAGCTTTGTGGCAGAACTTGAACTCGGGTCTCTCCAGTCCAGCACTCAAGCCTGGAGACAGGGATTCAAGGGCCCTCCAGTCAGGTGGACTACAACTCCCATCATCCCTGACCATTGGCAGTGCTGGCCTGGAGTGCTGGAAGTTTTAGTCCCACAGCATATGGAAGGCTATCGGTTCCTCATCCTGACGAGCCATCACACCACAGTGACTCATATGGAGCTGATGGGAGCAAGTGGGCAAAAATGTCAAGGAGCAGTTCAGATGTCTGTGATCTTTCTGTGATCTTTCGTTTGACTTTGCCCAAATGCTGTTCAGTTTGTTACCTCTGTGGACATGAGGCCTGGAATCTGGAATTGTGGGAAAGCTGTGGCAGAATGGCCAGTTCCATGCTGCGTGGACCAATGCTTTTCTGGATTTCTAGTCCTTCACACAGGACTCGGCCTTTACGCTTCGGCTATCTCCACCTCCTCATACATATGCCCCTCCTGCATCCTCTTCAGCTCCTTCAGATCTTCCCGGTGACTTTCTTTAAACTCCCGGAGAGCCGCCATCTTCTCCTCAAACTCTCCAGTGGCACAGTGGTCCTGCCGTTCAGGATCCGGCAGAAGGTATCCCACAGGATCGCCCAGCATCGCTTCGACCTCACGGCACAGGACCTCCAAGGCCAGGGGGCCATAGGTGGAGCTGCTGGATTTGTAGCGCCTGCTGAAGAGGTTGACGGGCCGCAGGAAGTAGTGCGGGAGGTTTCTATTGGCGAGGGTGTGGCATAGGAGCCTCAGGAGGGCTTCCAGGGAGGACAGTAGAGTCTCCCACTGTTGCTTCTGCGGGTAGATTTCACAGCACCACAGCAAAATGGTCTGCAAGAGGAAGAGAGGAGGGAAATGTTAGGTCTTTGTGGCTCTTAGAGGTTCAACAGCATGGGCAGTTCTGGTGTGCTTCAGGAAGTTGGGAAAAAGGAATGTGGAGTGCATCATATTGCTGACTCCTTGGCTACATTTTCCTCCATTTTGACTAGAAGCAAATATAAGGGCCTTGATATCAGGTTCCAAGTGTGTGAAAGAGGCCCCTGAGGGGATGGTAAACACTGGCCTGGCGACAGATAGCACGGCTTGCATTTCGGTTATTTTACCTCACCAGTCGGTGCAGCATTTAATTAGGAGGTTCACCTTGAGATGGTAGGAAGTCAAGATTTTGCCGTACTCTGGCGTCCATTTTGTCACGTTGACAAACTTAAGCAGTCTCAAAGCTGCCGCCCTCTGCCTGCCATCAGCGTCAACGTCCTCAAGAATCACAGTCTCGGCATGGCTGAAAGAGAGCCTGGGCCCAGAGAGAGATCGGCTCCATTAGAACACAGTGTTTATGGAAAAGAAAACAGTTCCTTAGTTGGATGAACTCTTAATAGCCCTCTTGGCTCCTATTGTTACTGCAGGAGGCAGAAATGAGATGGTATTAAAAAGAAAGGTTTGATATTTCAGTGGAAGCTTAACATATCTTGCCTTAAGATAAAAGGCCTTTTTTTGGCGGAGGGAAACCCCTTTTATTAAACTTCAGAAATAAAAATTGAGTCAAAAGGTCAACTTTTGACTACTGAAAAAGTTGCCTGTTTCTGAATGCATGCCAAGCGCTGCTTTCCCACCAGAGAGTAACCTTTTGCTCCCTCTCGGCTGCTAAGTTTGTTTACTTTTTTTTACCTCCAAAATCCTCCCTTGGCTATCAGCTCTGGTCCAACTTCCTGAACGACGGCTGCTTTCCGGAGAAAGCTTTTCTTTTCGTTGGCCAGGTCCCCATCCCACCAGTCGGAAAGGTGGGCCAGGTCTTCTCTCAGCCACTGGTTGGAGAGCTTGAAGGCTCCCTGGATGGCAGGGACCAGCTTCACTGGGACAGTTTCAGTCCCTTCAAGGAAAACCAACTGGATGGCAGGACTCTCCAAATTCAGGGCCTCCAGTGTGATGTTCTCTGCATAGGGCACAGACAAAGCATGATTGCCCCCAGGAATCAAGGGGAAGGAAAATAAAGTTACTACATTTTTCATTTCTTCAATGCCTTTCTTGAGGGTTGTGGGAATACCTGCAGCAGTGTGCAGCCTATAAATCTTAATGGTAAACCAGTCATGGCATTGCAACAGTAATAGAAACACAAGCAAACAAATAATAGCAAGGCAGTCCTGTTACTCTCCCAAGAATCTAAGAGGATAGGTGATCAGAAATATTTTTATTTAAGTATACAGTCTCCATTATACAGAAGGATAGGTGGCAGATCTGTGATCTGGTTACCTGCCTCCACTCCAGAAGAGGTCAGATTCTGTCCACAGAGCTCTTCCAATGCAATTTTAAAATATATTCACATCTGACTGGTTAATTATTGAAGGAAGGTGTTGGCAAAGACAGTACTCACTCTGATGTTTTTACATTTGAGGGAATCTGCAATAAACATACGTCTCAAAAATAGACTCACGTCTCATCGAGTTGTCTATCTTGGGTACACGGGAACGGAAGAGTTTTTGCCGGAACACAGGATCTAATGGTCAAGGGGGAAATCCAAGGAATGCTGCTAAGTTCAATTATATATTTGGAAATAAGCAACCGTAGGCCAAATCCAACCCCCCCCCCCCTGCAAACGGCTTCTCCCAATGGGAAAATAATTTCTACATGTTTTTGGACTTACCATTTTGCCGGGGATGGGTGCACTCTGGCAGGCAGGAAAGAAAAGTTCGAGAAAATGAGTTAATGGAGAATTGCGAATGGCCTGACATTCAGGCTCCCAAACCCCTCCTCCATTGTTTCCTAAAAAGGATTGTTCTGCTTTTAATTACATGACAAGTGGAAATTCATTATAACGGGTGCAGCTTTTCTCAGCGTGGTGATATGATACTAAGCCTGTTGAATTTCCTCCTGTTGCATAAATATAGGGTACGTGTTCAGAACAAAGGCGGCAACCTGAATTTCTTTAGGATGGCTGCCAGGTCTCCTTAGAGGGAAAGCACCTGTAAGTCCAGGTATCTGAGGAATCGGATTGTGAGGTTTACAGAATAGCATGCTATAACGGGGGGAGGGTGTGTGTGTGTCGTAACTCGCAAGTTTGGGAATTCAATTTGCCCCTCTCTCAAGCAACCCTCAGACCAAAGGAAATGTTAGCGCGCCACCTGTGCTGACATGTCTGTACCTGGGTCCAAAGTGATTTCTATATGTCGGTGAAAGTCCTCCAAGATTTGGACAGGGTCCAGGTGGTGGTGACTGAGGCTTTCCTAGACGAAGAGAAAACAAAGCGGGTCACTGGATTTTGCATCCTCTTGTGTTGGAGAAAGGAAAGCTGAGCTGGGGCTAAAAAGGTAAAGGTAAAGGTACCCCTGCCCATACGGGCCAGTCTTGACAGACTCTGGGGTTGTGTGCTCATCTCACTCAAGAGGCCGGGGGCCAGCGCTGTCCGAAGACACTTCCGGGTCACGTGGCCAGCGTGACGAAGCTGCATCTGGCGAGCCAGCGCAGCACACGGAACGCCGTTTACCTTCCCGCTGGTAAGCGGTCCCTATTTATCTACTTGCACCCGGGGGTGCTTTCGAACTGCTAGGTTGGCAGGCGCTGGGACTGAGCAACGGGAGCACACCCCGCCGCGGGGATTTGAACCGCCGACCTTTCGATCAGCAAGTCCTAGGCGCTGAGGCTTTTATCCACTACACCAGTGTAAAACCCACACTCCCTGGCTGTGCTCACGCCAGCATAAATCACAACCTCAGACTACACCAGCCTAACTTTAGCTAGCATCGTTTAAGACAGTGGAATTTTTACCAGCTTCCCATAGCTTGGATTGTTCTGCCCGTCTCTAGGTGGTATCACAGTATAAAAGGTACAATACAAATAAATCAAGTTAAACAATCAAATCAGAAAACTGACTTAAAATGTGCGCTGAACATTCAGGTATCAGAAGTTCCACCAAGTTAATTATACCTGTATGATGGTAGTTCTAGTTCATATTGATATTCAGGAGGATTTTTCTTAATTGTTTTGTACCACTTCAAAATATTTATTTTTAGTTCTCTTTTTTGTGTGTATTTGTGTGTGATACTTTTATAACTTTCCTAAACTGCTTTAAAGACTTTTTTGAAGTATTAAGTGGTATATAAACTACTTCTTCATCACCATCATCAGAATAACAATGGTGATGATGCTGTCGAAATCTACCTTGCACTCATCTAAGAAATCCAGGTCTTCCTCGTCGTCCTCGTCCGCCAGGCGCTCCGCTTGCCGGTGGCAGTGGACTTCCACGTACATCTCCCCGAAAGCCTCGAGGTCCACAAGGACTTTGGTGCCCCAGCGAAACACGGGCAGCCCTTGCTCGCGGAAAATGTAGGTGGGCAGCTTCTTTTCATAGCTGCCAGGCTCCTTGGCGATGCCCCCACTTGCGAGCGCCAGCTTGGGGTTATACCTCGCGGGGATGAGGAAGTCGAAACCGTTGGAACTCCCCTCCACTTGAAGGTGCAGCCCTTCCCTGTGGCTGCCGACCGGGATGGGGTCGTTGGGGTAGAGCCCGGTGCTGGATTCATAGGCCCATTTTACCATCTTCTCCACCATGCTTTTCACCACGAAGAAATTCTTCCCGACCCTCCAGCCTTTCTCCCCGGACAGGAAGACCCTGTCGGCGTAGAACTGCTGCAGGATCGCCTCTCGTTCCCCGGGAGGATCCCCCTCCCCGCTCATTGCCATGGTGGATCCCTCTGAAATCCTCCTCTATCGCCTGCCTCCCCTCCCCTCTCAGCTTTCACTTTCCCTTCCTGCCGAGGTCTGTTCATTCACAGAGACTTTTGCTCCTGGCTGTGTCAGAGATGGGAAGGGGGTGGGACGCAAAAAACAGCGTTTAAACTTCCCTGCAAAGTGAAAGTGAACAGAGTTCTCCCCTCCTCCTCCTCCTCTTCCCCTGTTAAACATTTTACGCAGATATTATTAGCCGAGCCAACCCATAAACTGCTGGGCGCTCCCACTCATTTTCCTTCCTGGGAGGGGAAATGTCAAGCGGGAAGAGTTAGAAGCCACACCAAAATTTCCTGGCTGGAAGCGATTCTCTAACATAGGAACCAGGCACCATGCCAGTGGAGTTTCTACCCATTTTGATGCCTGAGGTGACAGATGAGTTGATTCTTTCCCTCTTCCCTTTCCCTGGCCCATTCCAGACTGGCAAGGGGGCAGCATGCCTGAGGGCAGCAGGCTCAGCTTAGGGGGGAAGAGGGCAGCTCCATCATCATTCTGCCCCCCCATCACCCCCCCATTGCCCACGGAGGGCCTTCTGGTGGTTCCCTCATGGCAAGATGTGAAGTCGCAGGGAACCAGGCAGAGGGCCTTCTCGGTAGTTGCTCCTGCCCTGTGGGACGCCCTCCCAGCAGATGTCAAAGATCTGGAAGTGGGGGGCAGGGGGTGTTCCTACTGCAGGCATGGAATACTGCACCCCCTCACAAAATGGGAGGAGAAACCCACCCGTGGCTGCCTGGCAAGTGAGACACTTTTTTTGCCCCTTGCCCTCCTCCCACCTGGGCTCTGGTCTTCCCTGTCAATCATGTTCAGTTACCTCCCCCCCCCCCACGATGAGCTTGGAGATGCTCCTTCAGGTATACAGGGCCAAGGCTGTTTAGGGCTTCAAAGTTCAACACCAACACTTGAGATTGTGCTTGGAAACGTACCGGGAGCCAATGGAGAGCTTTCAGGACCGGTGTAATACGAAATACAGTACAAACCATCCTAGCAAATCCAGACTTTAAGTAAAATCGTTAAAACAAAGGACACATGCTACAAGTGTTGGCAATGTTTTATTGTGTACGTAGCTGATAAGGAACATGACTGGCAACTGCTACCAATGCATGGACACAATGGGATAAGACGAAAAACAGGGACCGTTATTTACCACAATATGCTCCATAGTGGATAGGATACTAATGTTGAATATTATGGTCCTATTATAAGAAGGGAGAAATACCGTATGTACAGTGGTACCTCAGGTTACAGACGTTTCAGGTTACATACGCTTCAGGTTACATACGCTTCAGGTTACAGACTCCGCTAACCCAGAAATAGTACATCGGGTTAAGAACTTTGCTTCAGGATGAGAACAGAAATCGTGCTCCAGCGGCCCGGTGGCAGCAGGAGGCCCCATTAGCTAAAGTAGTGCTTCAGGTTAAGAACAGTTTCAGGTTAAGAATGGACCTCCAGAACAAATTAAGTACTTAACCCGAGGTACCACTGTATTGTGGTACCTCTCTTTCCTTCTTCCTTTTTGGTTGATGTGTTCTACATTTATATAGATAGATATAGCATGAACCTCCCTGCCACTTCACTTCCAATTCTCTTGACTTCCAGCTTTACCTTCTCCCATAATCCCTCGGCTGCTTTTATTGATATCCACAGAGACGTTGAAGGCAGATGGATCAGAGTTCTGTCCTATGGGCTGTTATTCTTGGTGTGTGGAGAGCCAGTGGATTGATCCCACCCTCCAATTCCTTCTTCTTTGTCCCAGTGGAAGCCGACAGCGCTGACCAAAGGCCCCGAGCGGCCGCTGATGTAGCGCAGGACGGTGTTTGGGAACAAAGGCTCAGCGTCGAAGGGGACCCCCAAACCGGAGCCAGCCCCGTAGTCAAAGACACGGCCGAGGTTGGTGCGGAAGGCAATATACTCCACAAAGCTTCCGAAGCGGCCCAAGACTTGCACGATGCCTTCTCCAGGAAAGAGCGGCATCACAGATTGGCTCCCTGAGGGGTTCCCTTCAATCCTGGACCACAGGCCGCCATAGCGAACCTGGATGCTGCAGTGACAAGGGATGGATTGTGGTTAGTGAAGGCCGCCACCTTCTGAGGGACAGTGTTTAACAGCTGCATCTCAGATAGAAACCAAAGGACAACCACTTTTAATTACCACCCAGGTTTCGCCACCATATCAGGCAATTTGTACATCATCAGTTCTCAGTCAGCAGGGAAATCGCACAGGAATTTCTAAGCCCTGTTCCACTGGATGAGAACCAGGGGCTTTCATAAGTTTGTGTGTGGCACTTTGCAAATCCTGACAACCAGGTGAATGGGTCACCTGATGTCACTGTAATCTGATGCCAGGTGATTGACAGCTCAGTGGCCCCCCACAAGGAGGTGGGGGAGATAACTGTCCCGCCCACTGGCTGGATGCAGTACCCCCAGCGCTTCAGGGAGCTATGAGAATCCTGTTAATCATCTGATCTTCCAGGTGAGTTGAAACAGGTCTCCTGACATCGTTGTGATATCAAGCGATTGACAAGTCGGCAGCCCCCACCTCCCTGTAAAACTTGGCTGGATCAAATTCCCCATTCCTGCTGTTTGTGGCTTGGGTCCTCTGCCCAACCCAAATCTAGTGGCAAGAACTACTCTTCCCGTAAATCCTTTGCCCTATCACCACCCAACAGCCTGGGTCAGATATAAATACAGTGGTACCTCTGGATGCGAACAGGATCCGTTCCGGAGCCCTGTTCGCATCCAGAAGCAAACGCAACCCGTGTCTGTGTGTGCGTGGGTTGCGATTTGCCGCTTCTGTGCATGTGCGTGATGTCATTTTGACTGTGCATGCGCGAGCAGTGAAACCTGGAAGTAACGCACTCTGTTACTTCTGGGTCGCCGCAGCGCGCAACCTGAAAATACTTATCTCGAAGCTACTTCAACCTGAGGTATAACTGTATTTGCCCAAAGCTTCTGTCTATCCTGTGGGTTTATCCAGCATTTTTCTTCTTCTTCTGTATTTACAGATGAGGTGTTACTTGGAGGACTGAGCCCAAGCCCATGCTATCTACTCAGAAACGTGCGCCACTGTTTTCAGTGACATTGAGGCTCCCCAGTCACTGAAGATCCCCTCTGCTAACCTTGCTGAATCTGCCACACACCGGTAGCACCCCAAAAGACATACAAACCTCAGTATATACTTGTTGTTTGCCTGTATCCGCAGAGCTGTTATGGGGCCATCCAGCTGATTCCTGGACTGGTCAAAATGTTCCCCACTGCTGCCGCCATATTCTCCCGAGTAAGACGAGGAACCTGCCTGGGCTGGATCCACAAAGGGGGATGAGCAACAGGTTAACAAATTAAAAGGCAGGTTGATTTAATCCATTATTGACCCTTTTCTCTAAACTCAAAAGTCCCAGAAGCTACAACCTTTCACTTCATCCCCTGGATCATTTTGCTTGCCGTTTTCTGAATCTTTTCCAACCTAGCAGCACAGGCTGTTGCTTCTTCTAAGCTGTGTGCATGCTATCCCTTGGAAGCCCATTCTTTCCCTCAAAGAATTCTGGGTCCTGTAGTTTGTTAAGAAGAAGAAGAAGAGTTTGGATTTGATATCCCGCCTTTCACTCCCTTTAAGGAGTCTCAAAGCGGCTAACAATCTCCTTTCCCTTCCTCCCCCACAACAAACACTCTGTGAGGTGAGTGGGGCTGAGAGACTTCAAAGAAGTGTGACTAGCCCAAGGTCACCCAGCAGCTGCATGTGGAGGAGTGGAGACGCAAACCCGGTTCCCCAGATTACGAGTCTACCACTCTTAACCACTACACCACACTGGCTCTCAGGGTTGCTTGGAATTGCATTGCTGTGAGGGATAAACTACAGGGCCCAGAATTCTTTGAGGGAAAGAATTGGCTTCAAATGAGATTTTAAGCCTTAGTCCAGTCTTGCGGCCAACACACACACATACACACACACACACACACACACACACACACTCTGCTCCTCCTTGCAAATTATCACAACATTTCCAGATGCAAAATGCAGTAACAGCTAGCCCCCTTTGTGACCTTACCTGGACTACCAGACACAACATCACGGAGAAGGAGGCTCAGGAGAATGAATACTGGCATCTTGGAAGCTGAAAAGGGGAAGGTCTGGAGGGTTAAAAGAGACAAGATTACAGCTCACATGGGCTTATCATTTTCTTAACCAGATAGCAAAATGACTCGACTGTCACCTCTTCTCATGGCAATAGTAGCCTGTGAGAATCTGTGGCAGGGAATATAGAATTTATGCAAGTCAAATCCAGATTTTTTATTTTAGGGGAGGCTGTGAGGCGGAAGCCATTGAAAGAGGGAATCATTGGCTCCAAGAATAGTATTGAAAATAGCAAATACAATCCTCCAAGGTGTGTGTGTGTGTGTGTGTGTGTGTGTTTTAATGCTCTCAAGCTACACTATTCTTTTAGAATCAAATTCTCTGCTTTCGGATGACTAAGCTCTGAATACAGCCTTGGGTGTATCTAACTTCTATTTTACATGCAAATGTCAGAAAAGTTTTCAAAGAAAAAAAATCACCTGAAGTTAAAGAATAAAACGCCATGTTGACGACAATGTATTAAAACACACTTTTTAAAAAAACAACAACACCCTAGGTTCTTTAGGCTGCAATCCTTACCTGGGAGCAAGTCCCACTGATGTTAATGGGGCTTACTTTTGAGTAGAGTTGTATTGGCTTTCGCTGTTACTGTTGTTTTTTAAACACTCTTGCTTCCTCCCCCTTGCTTCCATAGCCATTAAAAAAGAGATATTTATTTATCCCATATTTTTTCCCCATGAAAAATATTGAGAGATGCTGCATTATGTATAGCTTCAGCCTTACAATTTGTCGCTTTGGTGAGCCTACTTACAGCAATACTTGCTTCTCCAGCAAAACTCCCGCAAATTACCTTGTTCAGGTAAGCTTAAGTGGGGTGGACCCCTCCTTGTGCCTTTGCTACATTAATGCCAAGAAGGCCTTACAAGTTCTTGAAACCTGCCACTCCTGCAGAAAATACAACCTTCTCTTTGAGAAAAGTGGTTCCCATTGGTTTGGCACCAGGTTATCTTACTCTGGGAGTTTCGTTTTACCTGCTTGTAGGCACCTGGGCTACCAAACAGTTCCTCTATTGTGATCTAATATTTCCTCCTACCTGTTCGTTGTTCAGAGAGCTAAGCTGGATTCCAGAAATCAGAACAAAAATGTAATCAAAGGCTTCAACATTCTTTTTAGAAAACTCCTGCAACAAATAAAGATATGGACATCTCCTTGCTGCCTAGGGTTAAAAACAAAATCTATTGCCGTGACATATTAGAAAATAGTCTTAAGATTTCCATGCATGCAACTTAAATAGCAATACTGTAAAGGCAACATAAATAATGGCACTCATCTCTGAACTTTGGAAACAGAAGGAATAATTTGCAATGAAATTTGCCGAATCTAAGGTTACCAATTTATCAAGAAAAACAAAGTGGTCTGGCCTGTTCATGTGCTTTTAACAGGAGTTTGGGGCAGTACAAAACCAGCCGCTGGAAGTTTTTCAGGGCCTGCAGAAATGCACTTAAGCCCTTCTTAACTATTGAACAGGTCCTTTTCCAGAGAGCCAGAGGGCGAGGATTTGAAAACTGGAACCAACATCTGGCATCTCCTCCAAATCTATAAAGACAAAACAAGCACAGTCTTCATCCGTGAAATGTCTCTGGGTCTGGTTCAGAGGCGTAGGAAGGTCAGGTGGTACCTGGTGCGGAAAATTTCTTGTCCCCCCCGCCCCACATTGATTTATTATCAAAAATGGTGTTACGTTATTTCATATTTTCTTACAAAGGAATGGATTCTGGGCCTCTGGTAACAAGTAGGCGACTATGGAGACATACTTAAATCTACAGGATGCCTTGTGTTCATGCCTTTCTACTACTTTAGCAACTCCTCCGCAAATATGGCAATATTTGGTCCTTTAAAAAATTTAATTATTATTATTCAGTTTTTAACAATATATAACAACGCATAACACTTATACATTCTTATCTAGATAATACAGAAACAATTAAGAAACATTTCTGATTGAGATACAGTGGTACCTCGGGTTACATACACTTCAGGTTACATACGCTTCAGGTTACAGACTCCGCTAACCCAGAAATAGTGCTTCAGGTTAAGAACTTTGCTTCAGGTTGAGAACAGAAATTGTGTTCCAGTGGCGCGGCGGCAGCAGGAGGCCCCATTAGCTAAAGTGGTGCTTCAGGTTGAGAACAGTTTCAGGTTAAGAACAGACTTCCGGAACAAATTAAGTACTTAACCCGAGGTACCACTGTATTATAATACCATAGAAATTTAAGTATCAACAAGAAAAGAAAACCTAAAAGGGGGGCGGAGAGAAAATAGTGGGGGAATGGGGAAGGGGATGTGTTTTTTGAAAGCCGTACAGCATTTCTTAGATACATCAATTTACAATTGCAGATGGGTAGCCGTGTTGGTCTGCCATAGTCAAAACAAAAAAAATTCCTTCCAGTAGCACCTTAAAGACCAACTAAGTTAGTTCTTGGTATGAGCTTTCGTGTGCATGCACACTTCTTCAGATACATGCACACGAAAGCTCATACCAAGAACTAACTTAGTTGGTCTTTAAGGTGCTACTGGAAGGAATTTTTTTTGTATCAATTTACAATATTTGAGAGGCAGTTTTCCAGTGATTAAAAACTTAGCGACTCCAATGAGTGTGGATCAGGGATGATTATTAATAGATTAAAGGTGTCCCCGATCTGCCCATCAGGGAGAGGTCATGGTGCACTCAGGTTTGCAGTGTGAGAAGCTGAAGCAGCACCTTAGCGTCTCTTCAGGCAGGTGGAGTTTGCAGTCTAGTAACCATCCCTCCCTAGAAGACAGTATATACAGCATTAAACCCAACACAGATCTCAGTGACACTTTTCTGCAGATACAGATAGGGAGCCGTGTTGGTCTGCCATAGTCAAAACAAAAAAATTCCTTCCAGTAGCACCTTAAAGACCAACTAAGTTAGTTCTTGGTATGAGCTTTCGTGTGCATGCACACTGGTGTATCTGAAGAAGTGTGCATGCACACGAAAGCTCATACCAAGAACTAACTTAGTTGGTCTTTAAGGTGCTACTGGAAGGAATTTTTTTGTTTTGACTTTTCTGCAGAGGCACAGAAATGCCACAAGGTGGCAGCAGACACTGCAGAGCTGCCATATAACCTGGGTGGCAGAGCCTGTGTCTATATTAGTTATATTAGCTACTTCATAGACATAATATGTGAATAGCAGCCTTTTAAGGACTTGAAACTACCTTATGGTGACTTTACCACCACCACAACCCCCAATCTTATTTACATCACCTGGGTTGATTTACAGATAAGCCATCTTCTGCTGTAGAAATGATCACAATTCCCTCCAGACTGGAATGTTAACAGGTAATATTCGGCAGTATTTTTATCCTGTCATTCCTTTAAGAAACTCAAGGCCCTTTTATCCTCACAAGGAGCCTGCGAGGTGGGACAGCCTGTGGAAACACACCATAAAGTTAAAGCACAAAGAATCCTGGGAACTGTAGTTTACGAAAGGCGCTGGGAACTGTTCCTAACTACATTTCCCAGAATTCTTTGGGAAGAGGTGGAGGAAATGTGCCTTAAATTAGCTTTAAATATATGAGTCCGCTAGGCCCCACCAACAGAGGAGGTGGAGCAGCAGAGGATGCTTTGCCCAGAGACTCCTCAAATCTAGAACTGGTCAGGGAACAAGAATCTGAACTCGGGTCCGACATGTGGTGTAATCTGGGCTGCACCACACGGGTTGTCAACATGAGCTGTTTTGCCCCAGGAGAATCATTCCCAGGGGTTGTGAAGGAAATAATTTCACCGGTTGAATGTCTGCCTCTTATACACCAATACTGGTGTTATGTACTGAAGTTCTCACCCTGGGCCAGCAGGGGGATACTGTAGATAGTTATGCAAATGAAGGATCGAAAGTGACGTTCAGTGATTGGCTAGTTTTAGAAAATGGCAACAGTTACATTGTTCTGGAGCTCTATATAAGCAGGCTGACTGAGCTCCTCAGATCAGTTCTGTTCCAGCTTACAAATAAAGAGCTGCTTTGGAAGAATTGCTGTGTCGTCTGATATGTTCGCCCACAACCTAACAACTGGCATCTTGCCAGAAGGAAATGTGACTTGGTCTGTAGCAGTTGTCTGTAAGGGAAAAAAAATGCCAACCTCGTGCACACTATTTATGTGCATTTCCTCATTTTAAACCACACAGAGAAGCATGTTTTGTGACGTCGCTGGAGGACAGGGAGAGGGGAATCACAGAGTGTTTTGGCTTTGAATGGAGGTCCCCTGTGAAATCATAGAGTCTGCGCCATAGAGAGGGAGTTATGAAACAAAATCTGGTCAGTAGGTCGGATCCTGACCTCTCCCATCCCCTGCAGGTGGTTTTGACCAGTGTGTGGTATAGAGATTCCCAAACCTAGCTTCATCCAGGCGGTCTGTGGCATGTTTGCAAAAATGCAATTAAAAATAATCCAGCACATTACAATTGCTACAGTAAGCAGGAAAAAAATAAGTGGTCTGCCGTGACCCTCAGCAATTTTTAAATCTGTGTGGGACAAAAGTTTGGGAACCAGTGAAAGAAAAGGAGCATGACTGTAGCAGTTAAGGCTGCCAACTGACCTATGGCTTTGACTTTAGATTTGCTTTTCAACACAGGAAAAAGCAGGTCAAGCTTTTTTTTGTGGTGCAGAACAGTCACCTGCTAACCTGCAGGTGAATATGATTCGGCACAGGAGTAGGGTGCAGTAAAAAAGTTGGCAACCTGGTGCTAATGCTCTTATGGGGAAAAGCCATCAAGGAGTAGCAAGTCTGTGTTTTTTTAAAATAGGAGACCATCTCTTCTGTGTCTTCTCCCTTTGCCTCTTTACCTGTGAAGCAGAACTGCGCTTTTAAAAGTATGGGGGTTTTTTTGTGTGAAAGTGGAGTTGCTGAAAAGTATCGTTGCCACCACTTTTTCTGCCGGGACTCCCATGCCTCCAGCTTTTGTGCCGCAGGCAAAACACAAAACAAAATGTGCATATTTTCTTCCTGGCATGGAGACACAGAGCTAAGAAACTCTTAACTAGCTGAATATTTCCCTTTTTCAGGCAGCTCCCCGAGGCTGCAACTGCCCTGCCAGGAAATAAAAGGGGCAATCTTTGTAGCTTTCTGAACTTCCAAGAAATGAAATCAGAGCGACGAAACACTTGTTATTAGTTTTTTCCTTTAGGCGCTGCTTGTCGTATTATCAAGCAGATTCTCACAACAGCGCTGTAAAGTAGGTCTTTGTTGCTAAGTAAAGGTAAAAAGGGATGCGGGTGGCGCTGTGATCTAAAACCACCGAGCCTCTTGGGCTTGCCGATCGGAAGGTCGGCGGTTCGAATTCCTGTGACGGAGTGAGCTCCTGTTGTTCTGTCCCAGCTTCTGCCAACCTAGCAGTTCAAAAGCATGCCAGTGCAAGTAGACAAATAGGTACCACTGCGGCGGGAAGGTAAACAGTGTTTCCATGCGCTCTGGCTTCCATCATGGTGTTCTGTTGTGCCAGAAGCGGTTTAGTCATGCTGGCCACATGACCCAGAAAGCTGTCTGTGGACCAACGCCGGCTCCCTCGGCCTGAAAAGCGAGATGAGTGCCGCAACCCCAGAGTTGCCTTTGACTGGACTTAACCATCCAGTGGTCCTTTACCTTTTTACCTTTACCTTGTTGCTACTGGCAGGGGCCCGGTGAAGTTGAGAGACACACACAGGCCAAACCAAGCTTAGCACTATCTGTAAGGGAGGGAAGCTTCACCTGTTGAATTTCTGCCTGCAGCGCAACAGTTAAGGCCACAGAAGCATTTCAGGATTAAAAGCCCACCTCCCCACCCGGCTTCCGCTCCGGAACTGGACTGCCTGACTCACCCGCCTCTTCAAAGGAGCCTCGCTCCCTTTTCTTTCTTTTTGGCTCTAGTTCCTCTGGAATGTCTGAAATTAATTATTTTGACTAGCAAGTGGCACCGCCGGGGACTGGCTTGAGTGAGAGGGGACCACCAGCACTCCTGAGACAGCCTGGGAGGGGAAAGTGGACCAGCCCCCCCCTACCAAAAAAGGGGCGATAGGCTAGGCAGGGAGGGCTAGGACACGTGGACTCCCAGCCCGATCTCCCGGGTTCCCTCTGTGTGTGTGAGAGAGGGAGGGAGAGTCATTTGTTCTCTCCAACTCCCTGCCGACTCTCCTCCTTTCAATCTGTGATTCATTCT